GGAGAGCGCGTCGGCGCTATCGCGAGGAGAAGGAGGAGTGCGGCGCGGGGCTGCTCGGTGGGAGACAGAGAGAGGGTGAGGACGAGTGTAGAAACCCTAAGCTCTGGTATTTATATATGAGCCTGGTATGGGCTGCGCCTGGGCTCCGAACTGGGCCAAAAATTTATCGTGGTAGGCCTTATTGGTTGCCCGCCACGGTAAATCGATTTACCGTGGTGGACGTCTTAAGATGTCCGCCGCGAAAAATAGGGTATTTTCCGTACCGAACATCTTAAGACGCCCGCCACGGTAAATCGATTTACCGTGGCGGGCAAAAACGCCCGCCACGGTAAATAAAAAAGATCCGCCTCGGTAAATCATGGGCATTAACCGCAGCGGGCAAAAATTGTGCCCGCCACGGAGGCTATTTTGGTGACGCAACACAAATTCGTTTCTGTAGTAGTGCCTTTCGAGCGGGAGAACCTCCTCGAGGAGGTAGGCGAGTAGCGGCACTCGCTAGTCGGTTTGATAGAGTGCCAATACGGCGATGTTCGCGGGTGACGTCGTCATAGAGGTACTGGGATCGGAGCCCCCGAGCGTCGGCTAGGCATCGGGGTGTGTCTGGATCGGACTTTCTAGGATGCGGGCGGACGGTTCGTGGACGTCGTTGATGAAAACCCCGGTCGGGGATGGATCCCGCCTGGTGGCCAATTTTGCAAGGAAATCGGCGGCATCGTTGTCCCTTCGAGGGACGTGATGTAGTTCGATCCCCTGGAATTTGTCCTCAAGTTTGCACACCTCTTGGTAGTATGCTGTCATGAGGGGGCTTTTGCAGGAGGACTCCTTCATGACCTGATCAACGACAAGTTCCGAGTTGCCGCGAACGTAGAGTCACGTAGCACCGAGCTCGATGGCGATGCGTAGTCCGTTGATAAGGGTCTCGTACTCCGCGGCGTTGTTTGAGGCTAAAAAGTAGAGGCGGATGGTGTAGTGGAGCCTACTTCTGTCCAGGGAGATCAGAACCACTCCAGCCCCCGAACCGGGCGCCATTACGGACCCGTCGAAGTACATCATCCAGTACTCGTGGGTGACATCCAAAGTGCTAACCGACGACATCATCCTGGCGCGGCAAGAGAAGGACACGGCGACCGTGGCCGAGGTCCTGTCGATCCCGCAAGCCTTCGCGGCCGTCCTGCTCCGCCACTTCAAGTGGGGAGCCAGCCAGGTACAGGACGAGTGGTTCTCCGACGACCGCTGCGTGCGCGACGCCGTCGGCCTGCAGCCGGCGGACAACGGCGGCGGCGGCGGTGGCCCCGTGGTGGCCATGGCGCTCAGCAGCCGGCGGCTCGTCTGCGGCATTTGCTTCGTCAGGTTCAGCGCCGGGAGGACGAGATTGGCCGGGTGCTGCTCGCACTACTACTGTGACGCGTGATGGTGCGGGTACGTCCACTCGGCCATGGGCCACGGCGCGCGCTGCCTGTCGCTGCGGTGCCCGGACACAGCCTGCTCGGCGGCCGTCGTACGCGGTGGCCAACGGCGCCGACAGGGACCGGTACGTGCTCCGATCGTACGTGGAGCTGAGCGGCGGCGGCGTCAAGTGGTGCCCCGCCGCCGGGTGCACGCGCACCCTGGAGTTGGTCGGCGACGGCGCGGACGTTTTTTGCGAGTGCGCGCAAGGCTTCTGCTGGAGCTACGGCGAGGAGGCGCACCGGCCGGTGTCGTGCGGCACGGTGCGCGCGTGGCGGGCCAAGAACATCTCCGATTCGGAGACGGCCAACTGGGTGCTGACCCACACCAAGCACTGCCCCAAGTGCCGCCGGCCGATCGAGAAGAACCATGGCTGCAGCCACATGACGTGCCGCGCCCCCTGCTACCACCAGTTCTGCTGGCTCTGCTTCGACCCGTGGCGCTGCCACTTGCGCTGCTCCCGCTTTGATTACACTGATTACCTTCAGCAGGACGTCGACGGTGAGGGCGGTGAGGAGGAGAGGCGGCGGCGAAGGCAAGCCAAGGCGTCGCTGGATAGGTATCTGTACCACTACGAGCGGTGGGCGGGCAACGGCAAGTCACTGCAGAAAGCGCTCGCCGACATGAACGAGCTGCGGAGCTCGGGGCTCTAGAAGATGGCCGCCTGGTGGGCTCTGATCGCTTGCTAACTAAAGGCGTTTGAGCTCCGCCGTATTTGAGAAGGTATACCACACATGGACGTATACATACTTGCTAACTTCTTCTATTGCATGTCAACACGTATGCATGCATACACGGCATAGTAACGTGTTAGCTTCTTTCTTTTCCAGCACACGTAAATAGACATGCGCACTATGCATTAGCTCATCACGGCCCAATGCAACTTGATTCATGTTTTTTTTCCTTTTACTATTATTTTCAGTAGCACGTATAGATGTACATGCATACTAGTGACATTTTGTACAAAATCTCGTCAAACAAGGACGACAACAACTACTACGATTATGAAGCCGACGACGACGGGGCTGCATCGGCGAGGTCGACGATCCCAGTGACGAGTACGCAGTGGAGGAAGAAACGAAGGCCGCCAAGCCGACGTACAATGTGCTAACCGACGACATCATCCTGGCGCGGCAAGAGAAGGACACGGCGACCGTGGCCGAGGTCCTGTCGATCCCGCAAGCCTTCGCGGCCGTCCTGCTCCGCCACTTCAAGTGGGGAGCCAGCCAGGTACAGGACGAGTGGTTCTCCGACGACCGCCGCGTGCGCGACGCCGTCGGCCTGCAGCCGGCGGACGACGGCGGCGGCGGCGTCCCCGTGGTGGCCATGGCGCTCAGCAGCCGGCGGCTCGTCTGCGGCATTTGCTTCGTCAGGTTCAGCGCCGGGAGGACGAGATCGGCCGGGTGCTGCTCGCACTACTACTGCGACGCGTGCTGGTGCGGGTACGTCCACGCGGCCATGGGCCACGGCGCGCGCTGCCTGTCGCTGCTGTGCCCGGACCCGGCCTGCTCGGCGGCCGTCGTCGAGGAACTCGTCAACGCGGTGGCCGACGGCGCCGACAGGGACCGGTACGCGCTCCGATCGTACGTGGAGCTGAGCGGCGGCGGCGTCAAGTGGTGCCCCGCCGCCGGGTGCACGCGCGCCCTGGATTTGGTCGGCGACGGCGCGGACGTTTTCTGCGAGTGCGCGCACGGCTTCTGCTGGTGCTGCGGCGAGGAGGCGCACCGGCCGGTGTCGTGCGGCACGGTGCGCGCGTGGCGGGCCAAGAACGTCTCCGATTCGGAGACGGCCATCTAGGTGCTGACCTACACCAAGCACTGCCCCAAGTGCCGCCGGCCGATCGAGAAGAACCATGGCTGCAGCCACATGACGTGCAGCGCCCCCTGCTACCACCAGTTCTGCTGGCTCTGCTTCGACCCGTGGCGCCGCCACTTGCGCTGCTCCCGCTTTGATTACACTGATTAGCTTCAGCAGGACGTCGACGGTGAGGGCGGTGAGGAGAGGCGGCGTCGAAGGCAAGCCAAGGCGTCGCTGGACAGGTATCTGTACCACTACGAGCGGTGGGCGGGCAACGGCAAGTCGCTGCAGAAAGCGCTCGCCGACATGAACGAGCTGCGGAGCTCGGGGCTCGAGAAGATGGCCGCCTCGCTGGAAATCCAGGTGGAGGACCTCGAGTTCCTGATCATGGCGTACGAGATGATCGCCTACGGCAGGCGGGTGATGCGGTGGGTGTACGCGTACGGGTACTACCTGGACCCGGGGCACGACGTGTGCATGCGCCATCTGTTCGACCGGCTGCAGGATGACGCCAACCGGTGGCTGGAAGACCTGCACCACCCCGCCGAGGTGGAGAGGATGAAGTTCTGCAGCGGCCACGCCGGATCCGTCATGAACGAGACGTACAGGGCCTACAAGCATCAGCTTATCGATGTGTTTTTTTTAAAATAATATTTTTTTTAATTAATAATTAGAAATATAGCATTTGAATACACAGAATTTTACGGAGGACCGAGAGAGGTATATCGGCATGACATAGCTGGACAGGACAGTACAGCGGTCCTGTCGGCGAGCCGCCGGCCGACAGGTACTGTACCCCCGCACTGCTCGCCATCGCTGCCGTCTGGTCGGGCTGCCGAGGTAAGTTTTTTTTTTAATTAGATTTTGTTTTTTTAGTTACTTTATTAGTTAGATTTTGTTAGTTTAGTTGGTTTAGTTAGATTTGGTTAGGGTTAGATTACTTAGTATATTTAGTTTTTAGTAGTAGATTAGGGTTAGTTTTAGGGTTAGGGTTAGTTCAGTTTGATTTTGTTTTTTTAAGTTAGTTTAGTTTAGTTTAGCTAGATTACTTAGTATATTTAGTTAGTTTAATTAATTAGATTAGTTAGTTAGTTTTTAGGGGCTCTTGCGTTTGTACCCTTGTTTTGTATTAAAATTATGATTTTGTCCTTGTTTTTTTTTACTTTGTGAATTTACCCCTATGATTTCAAAACGAAGCACCAGTTTGCCCCTGTTCCGTCATCCACCCCTAACAGTGTTAAACTTTGTACAAAATGACATGAATGCCCATGCGATTTTGCCCCTGTTTGTTATGCATAATTGTGATTTTACCCTGATTTGAAATTAGACTTTTTATTGTATGCTGACAATTGATTAAATTTGGTCAAACATATTTGGCACAACTTGCAATTATTTGAATTCAGATTTAATATTGATAAATATTCAAAAATTTTGGACCAAATGGTTCATAATGATGACAGATGTAACGCCATAAGAAATATTTCGATATAATTTTTTGTGTGGGTCCAAAAATCCTCAATGTATAAGAATGCATGTAGAACATCGGTTAACAAACTGTGTTGCCCCTTGTGCTCTACTAAAAGCATGCGCAAACAACCATCCAGCTTATGAAACACAAGTGAAAAGACAGTGTAATCAAGGAACATAGGGCACAAACGACAGCAGCACACTTGTACAACACAGGATGCAGCTTCAAAGCATGATTCACTAGCACGGAAGGTGATCGATTAGAGTCTCCTGGACGGCGGCAATCACATTCACATGACCATCTCGGCCGGCGGCAGCAGCGCCAGGTTGAGGTCCAGCCCCAGGCCCACGGGCGGCGCCGCGTCGAACACCACAGACGACGACGACAAACCAGAGCAGCTTCGCTCCTCCTCGCTCTTCGGCGGCAGCAACTGCAGCAGCGCCGGCGTCACGGCCGCCGTCGGGTCCATGAACAGCTGGTTCGTGTTTGCGGCCGCCGCCAAAGCCGGCAGCGCGAGGCTGAGGTCCATCGACGGGGCCGGCGGCGCCGCAACCGCCACCGTCACCGCCGCCAGCGACTCCTGCGGCGGCAGCAGGGAGCACCACGACGACGACGACGACTCGTACACCACGGCGCTCGCGCTCGCGGTCCCGCACCCCGGAGCAGCAGTCGCGCGCCGCATGCCCGCTCCGCGCCGCCGACAGGCACCGCGCCGCCCGCTCCCTCCGATGTGTTTTAGAGGAACAGCCTGGAAGGGATAAGGGCAGCGTAGGCATTTGGTCTTTTCTTTTCAGGTTTAGAATTTTTTTAATTCATCTATTCACTGGGATCAGACAGATATCTAAAATAGGGGTAGACGGATAGTTCAATTCAAAATAATAAGGGCAAAAACACAAAGTTGAAAAAATAGGGGTAAAATCACAATTGAAGTACTGGACAAGGGCAAGAACACCATTTTCCCTTTAGTTTTAGTTGTAGATTAGTTTTTTAGTCAGATTTTTAGGGTTAGTTATTTTTAGTTAGGTTCTATGGTTCGATTTATTTAGGGGTATGGTTAGTTGTACCAACGTTACTTTTAGTTAGCAAGTTTAGTTTCAGATAATGGTTTTGGATTACGGCTAGTTTAGTCAGTAGTTTGTTGTTAGGGTTAGTTTTCTTTTAGTTTGGTTTGTTTAGTTAGATTAGGTTCACATGGTACTTCTTTTAACTGAAACGATAGTTTGCTCCGGCCTGAGCAGGGTCATCTAGACAACGTTGATCTCCGGCGACGCGGTTAGCTGACGTAGATGAACGTGGGCGTAGAGGGAACGCCGCTGCCGATCGTAGATGCGCTCTGGATAGAGGTGGCTGGTGCCTTGCCGTGGCCACCTTTTCCATCTTCCGCATGGCCGCGCTCATCTCGCATTGATGGCGCCGGTCCAGTCATCAAAGTCAGTCATGTTGTGTACGTGAGGACTCAACACGCGCAAGTACAGAGAGAAGGCAGCAGGACGTATGGACCGGACGCGCGGAGCTAGTGCGAGCTCGAAGTCAAAGTCATGGGCTACATACCAGGATTGTTTGGTTGTCGGTCACAGTTTGTCATGCCTAAGGTTAGGTATAAGCCACACTTGTGGCTTGCCACACTCTGGTAAATTAGGAGTATTTGGTTGATAACTAAGATGTGGCAAAAATAGTGTGGCTGCTGCTTGGTTTATTGCTACTAATGTTAGGCCAGCCTTGGTTAAAATGCCCCAATTCCATTCATGAGGATAACTGTCACAAATATTTTGACAATGGTGTAGGTAATTAATCATAGTGTGTAAGCATGTGCTTAGCTCTCAAGTATATAGAAAACAAATCATCCCATAAAATAAACAAATATTTTGGTGGAATGGATGTTTGGATTAGCGTAGAAAAAGTACAGAAAAGAAATCTCACTTAAGAACCATCGATGGAGAAAATAAAAAAAATGACTTAAAAAATGGAAAACCGCAGGAGTGCTCTCATCCACACAATCAATCCCCACCCACCAAGGCACTGAACCTCTCGTCCACAGCTGAGCGCACGTCGCTCTCGTCTCTATCCCCTTCCTTCTCAAAGCTTCCCTTTGCTTCCCTGCCCATTTACCTTTGCACACCTCGCGCTATACAGGCATGCAGCAGTCGAGCCATGGGCCTCCGCCATGGACAGCCTCCGCTCAACTCAAATCATGAGTCCGACCTCCTCCGACGACCACCACGCTCGTCGGCCCCGTGCTCGGCCACCACCAGGCCCGTCGTCTTCAACTCCACCGACCATGGCTGGGCACGGTAGCGTGGCGGTGCTAGGGCGCATGTCCAAAGGGACACGGACGAGCAGCGGAGCATAGCATAGCTGGGCGCGGTGCCATGGTGTGCCGGGCCCGGTGCAGCCGGTGGTCGCCGCGGACGGGCTTGTGGTGAAGGGACGAGCGGTGATGGCAGGGTGCCGCATAGCAGGAGGAGGGGTGGCGCTGTGGCAGAGTTTGTGGCAAGGCGGAGGCGGAGGAAAAGCTCGCCGCACATTCGACGAGAAAACTGTGGCGAGTACTGTGGCTGGAGCGTGGCAAGCCTTGCTTCGGTTACAAACCAAACACCCGCCTAAGGCACCGTGGTGAGCCTAACTTTAAGCGTGGCAATTTGTGGCGGGCAACCAAACAGCCCCTTCAAAACGCCAGTCGCTAACTCACCATCAGGCCAGTTTTCAATTGTGTAGAATAACACGACCTAGACACGTCAAAAAATTAGCGACCTAACAACATATATATGGTGACCATCGTTACGTGCAACGTACGTGTGTGTGTGTTGTGCGCCGAGCAATTTTCGGATGAAACTGCGTGGAACGTACGATCGACTAGGTAACGATCTACTCCCTCCGTCCAAAAATATTGTCGTTCTAGAGATGGGCACAAAGACCAATGAGCCAAGCAAAAGACTACAACACCCCTACATCCTCTCTCTCATCTTCTTCCCCATTCTTCCCGTTCACATCAGCAAATCCAGCTCCGGCGAGGTGAGGACGGGCGTGATTCCGGCGAAGCCTGGCCAGATCCAACGAATCTAGCTCCGGATCCCGGTCGCGGCTTGTGGGGACCGGTGAGGTCTCCTCCTCGCTGGCGTGCTGAGGGTGGGCTCTAGTATCGCCGGCGTATGCTGATGGCGCGCCCTGCTTGGGTTATCCTGGCCGGCTCGCCGTCGAGCCGCTCCACCTCCGCGCTAGCCGCTCCGCCTGGGGACGACCGCTCTGCTCCGGTCTGTGTTGACGCCGACCCGCTCCAACTCGATGCCGACGGCCTCCGCCTCAGCGCCACATGCGGAAGAGAAGAAGGTGGTGCAGGTGGGACGGGGGCGGCGGTGGGGTGGGAGGAAACGGGGGGCGTTCATGGGGATGGATGGAAGGATGGGGACGAAGAGATAAGGTTGTAGCCTCCTACAGCCTTGGGCAGGGAGGAAGCAGTGTCTAAAAAGACACTCTTTGCGGAACAACATTTGAACGCCATTTCTGGGACGGAGGGACTAACAAAAGTATGCATGGCAAGACCCGAAAGGTTGTTTGGCAGTTCGCGCCCGTATCTGTGTCGTCATCCGTGCAGACGGGTCGTGCCGTGCCAACGTGTGTGCGGTCATCAGTTCTTTGTGTTTGCTTCCGGTATGGATGGATTATTGCTCGCACTCGCAGCGTCCCACTCCAATTTAAATAAAATCAGTACTGTACAATCCTTTTTGAGGGTGATAGCTAGAAGCAGTACAAATGCTTTGCAAGATGGTGTCTGGAGACAAGTCACAAAAAAAAAAAAGATGGTGTCTGGTCAACGCAGCCCGGCCCGTGTTTGCGTACAGATGCTTTGCAAGTTAGTTTGCTTGCGCCCATACAGGCACCAAAGGCCGAAATCAAAGCCCAGCTCTACCCAGCCCATCCCACTGCGTCGGCCCAACCTCTCCGTCAACACACCCCCACCGTGGCAACTGGCATTGCCATCTCCATCTCCAAGCTGGCCGGCTAGCTAGTCAGAAATTCGATCAGTATCCGAAGTGAACAACAGAACAAAACCAGAGATTATCCGGATTCATTCCTCAAACCGAAGAAGGTACTATTATCGACGGGAGAAAATCGACCGCTGAGCTCAGCGTGCGCCAATAATCGACGAACAAGATGGATCGGACGGCCGTGACGATGAATGGGCATTCTTGCGTAAGCCAGTATATATAGTTTCATTAAGTTTATTTTAGCACAGGAACAAACGAAAGCAAGCGCGAGACGAGGCACGTAAAACGGTACTCCTCCTTTCCAAATTATAATTCATTTCAAATTTTTTTGACCCTAAATTTTACCACTCGTCTTATTCAAAAAATTTATGTAAACATATTTAAATTTAAGTTATTCTTGATCTTTTGTTAATAAAGAAAGCCACAGCAAAAGAATTGATACTTTGCACAAATTTTTGAACAAGACGAGTGATCAAACTTGGGGTCAAAAAATCAAATGAATTATAATTTTGAACGGATTTAGTACATTATTATTATTATTATTATTATTATTATTATTATTATAAATAAAAATCCATCCTCTAGATCGTCACATAGCATCACTCATCATAGTAAACGTGTCGGATGCGCGAGCCGTCCACGATGGAGTAGTCCTCCGTGTTCTTGGCGTCCATGAGCTGGGTACCGCCGTGGAAGAGCTGCATGGAGGCCATCGGGACGTCCTTGCTCGTGTAGACCTTGTTTGGATGTGCATGTATTCATCTCAATCCATATGTGTTGAAGTGGATTGGAGTGAAATTAAACTAAATTCTATTTCATTCCACTCCAACACATGTGGGTTCAAGTGAATACACATGCATGCAAACAAAACCGTAGATGGTCACGTTAATGGCCCTTTGTCTGCGTACGGTGGTGCTGGCAGCTAGTGTTCCACTCGTCCCGCATTCGTCTTTGGTACCTATATATATACTCCGTGGATCGTTGGAGCGCAGTGACGGAGGTAGCGGTGGGGCTGGGGGCTCTAGCCCCCCCTACCGATTCTAGGCACGTGGAGCCTCCCTAAGCTCTCCTTTGAAATTTTATGCATATATGTATTAGGTAGGAGGGGTTAAGGTTAAGAGAAGATAAAAAAGCCTCTATTCTTTTGTTCAGCCCCTCCTAAATTTTTTCTGGCTTCGTCCCTGTTGGAGCGTATGGTAAATGTAAGACCGTAAGGATCTGAATATTATGGTAAGAAAAATATATGTAAGGATTATTCATTGATTGGAATTCGCAATCTTACGTATGGTCATTTTTAAAAAAATGATATACAATTCCATTTCCACATATCTATGCTTTTTATATATGATCATCAACAAAAATAATATATCCTTATTTAAATTAAAATAGCAGCCCCAGCCCGCGTGTGCATGCATGCACGTTAAGTCTGCTTTGGCCCATACGCATATAAGGCCCAATCCAATAGCACAACTGATGAACCCCAACTTTCGTCGTGATCCGATTTATCTCCCTCATTTATGAAACCGGTTGTTCCCCTCAAAAAAAATTAATAAAACCAGTTGTTTGAGCTCCTTCAACTTTTAACATCCTTTTTTTATTTTGATGGTGGTAGTGTTAATGTGGCACCACGTCAGAGAGAGGTAAATTGGACTAGTTAAAAATCCAGGGAGGCAAATTAGACTTATTTTAAAAAAAT